ATCAAACGTGACCAACAGTTACAGAAAATCTACACTGAAATGTAAAATAAAAACTAAGACATTATTTAATTAGAAAAGCTTAATTGTTTTTATGAATGAGATCATTTATGGACACTTAAAGAAAAAAGCAGTCTTAAGAAAAAAGTTTTCGATAAATAATGAATTTTTACAAGACTTTTGTTTTTTACAGTTGTGCATAAATGTACCAGTTGCTTTTAAATGTGGACGTCCATACACGACATTACCAGAAAATAAAAGCGGTAACTATAGTAAATTTTAAATTTATTCGTAATTTTTAACATTTCGTCAAGTGTCTTTGTAAGATTATAAAGTCAAAGTACTTAACTACAATAAAATATTATATTACTTAGAATATTTTCTTAAATTTTTAAGATTACTAGATAGTTAAGAATTATATTAAAAAGGTGTTCACGTTGTATTCGTCAAGTAATTTTTCTAGCTATGTATCTTTTACTTAAAAATGCCAAACATTAAGCTATCGATAAGTCTATTAACACTTCGTAAAAACACCAACGTCCGTGTTAAATACTTTTTTGTGATATTTTAAACTAAAAGTAAGTAATATTTGTTTTAATTCAGATTAATTAAAATTTAAATAAGTTAATATTACTCAAATAAAGTTTCAGAAAATATATATTTTATTTTTGAAAGATTTTTTTGCTAAAAAGAATTACATTGTTGACAGATTTACCAATATGGTCGAATTTAGCGATTTAAAAAATCATTTCAATCAATTTAAATTCGGTTTGAAATAGATCAAAGTATTTTGCTTATTGGAAATATTAAATTTAATCTATTAGCTTGGAATTAAAACTAAAACAAAAACTTCAAGAAAGATTTTTCATTTTTAAAATGCATTTTAAACCTTAGGTATCGCTATTTCTTTTAGTATCTATATAAAGCGAATATATTCCTTCATTATATCGTCTTAATTTGCCTTATGTTACTGCATTTACTTTCCTCCGAACAAACATACCACAACGATGTGGGTGATGTTTCAATTCCCAATCACGAGGCTGTATAGAATGTGATAGAATTCTAAGAATACTGAGTGTGACATTGAGAACATTCTAAATTATAAAATGTTTGTTCTTGATTTTAATGTTAAAGTTCAGAATTCTAGGTTTCTAACAAATTATTTTCACATACCATCACTCCTATAACAAGTGATCTTCACTAAATGCTTCTAGATTTTAATCTTGTGCCGTCGTTTCGACAAAGTACCCTTTGGTCATCATCAGGTGTCCATTGGCTGATGTGGGATATCTTTGATTATTGTGATATTGGTCGCTGTGATGTCAGTTATTAATTGTTCCTAGTGAATTGGTGCTTCAATTTTGTGTCTATAATAAAGTTTATATCAACCAAGATGAGAACAATAGGAATTCATTAGAAATTACTTGTAGAATAATAAATATTAAAATCTCTTCATTTGAACTTGGTGTTGATTCAAATGGTGATTGAAGGACATTTTAATTAAAACTCAACTTACTATTATTCTTATCTTGGTTGATATAAATGTTATTATAGACACAGTTTTAACCGAGTACTCTCTGGTCATCATCAGGTGTCTATATCCATCAAGATGAGAACAACTGTTCGGAATAATACAAGAATATTGACAATTACTAATTCCAGAAATGAAATGCTAAATTAAACTAAGCCGAGTAAATGCATTACGTCCTGTCGCTTGACTGAAATAGTTACGTATTTTCCGCCAGTGACAGAAGTCGGGGCTGAAGAAAATCAACATGACAAAATGTTCAATGCTGATTTTTTAGGTAGTCGGTCCTTTTCACTATGTTGTAGTGTTACAAAATGAATAGGCTAGACAAGATGGCAGACCCTGACATATTGAGCAAAACGTTGACCACACTAAATTGTCGTGGTTTGAATCCTGTAGGCGTTGAATCCTGACAGTAATGGGGAATTTTTTTTATTTAAGAAAAAACGTGCTAGTACAGTTGCGGCACTAGTGTAGTAAAAGCTCTGATGCCTGCCACTACCAGATTCCTTTGCGTGCTATGGTTTCAGTAGAGTGACAAAGCACTACATGAGGATGAAAAGCCAACCTATTAACATCCGTTCTTTCACTCTGTCTGTCTTTCCCTTTAAGAAACGATGCTTACTACTAAATCCCTCTGTAATAGAGTAAAAAAGAATGCCGAAGAAAATTGGCTGTCGTTTAATTAGTCTTTGATGCAGCATTGAAATTGCCGATAGACCATTAGAATTTACAAACGGAGAACGCAACGCAACAGTGACACAATCTTCGATTACAATGTAGGCATGCTCAGCACTCAGCTAAATTTAATAAATTTTGTATGGAATTCTGTGTAGAATGTCTATCTATCTATATATCTATTTTAGACCGTTTACATCTATGTATGTTCCTTAAACCGTTCACATCTATAGACTGTTCACATCTAAGTATCAATGTATCTTAGACTGTTCACAACTATCATAGACCGATCACATGCATCTATCTTAGACTGTTCGCATCCATCTACCTTAGTCTGTTCACACCTATCTACATATATATCTTAGTTTGTTCACATCTATTTTAGACTGTTCACATCTTTCTCTCTTAGACTGTTCATATCCGTCTATCTATCTCTCTTAGACCGTTCACATTTATTTATCTGTTTTAGACTGTTTTCATCTATCTTGGACTGTTTACATCTATTTAGCTATCTTAGACTGTACATATATGTCTGTCTCTCTTAGACCGTTTACATCTATTTGTTTTAGAGTGTTCCCAGCTATCTTGGATTGTTTACATATATTTATCTATCTTAGACTGTTCTCACCCGTCTATCGCTCTTAGACCGTTCACATCTATTTATCTGTTTTAGAGTGTTCCCATCTATCTTGGACTGTTTACATCTATTTATCTATCTTAGACTCTTCATAAACGTCTGTCTCTCTTAGACCGTTCACATCTATCTATCGTTAGGTTTTGTTTCCATTTTCTTAGTCAGCATCTAATCTAACAAATTCCATTAGTTTTATTTGATACAGATGGTTGTTGATCATTCTCTACGTGTCATCGTGGGTGAACGGTTTCAGATGTTATCATTACATCATTGACTTAAGCTCAAAAGAATGCAATGAACCAGTCAAAATCTTACAAGACTCGAATTAATTTGGTATTTAATGCCTAGTTCGCGAAGAACATTTAAATCCTGATACATTACATTGTGTACAGCTGCTTGTGCAAGCATTTGTTTTTAATCTATATATATATATATATATATATATATATATATATATATATATATATATATATATATTAGGAAATGAATTAAATCCGACACATTTTTATTTTCAATTTATTTTGCTGAAACGTAATCTTTTTATGGATACTCATATTCGAGGAGATACACTGTTTTTTTTTTTTTTTTAAATTAAACAGTATTTTTTATGCAACTAAATGTATCGGTCTGATTATTCGAGAAACCTTGTCAGAAAAATAAGCGTCCTCTGGCTTTAAGTTTAATATATTTGTCTGATGTGAAAAAATACTCTTAAAGTGCCCGTTTTTAAAGTCATTATATATATATATATATATATATATATATATATATATATATATATATATATTTCTTTGTAGAACCTTTGAAATGGTTTTTTATGTTTTAGGGAACCCCTGCATAAAAAATATTATATATCACTATTAATATCTATCTCTTTTATATTTGTATCGTAGTTCACGTGTTAAACATAATATATGGACACCGCACCTGCGTACTTCACTCGGGTGAGTCACTCAATGATACACGAATCTGCCACGTGCAGGTCCTGTCCGCTAACCAAAGAGAAGGCGTTTTCACGCTGATGCCATATAGACATCGCTAAATACATTCCCTGTGATTATTATAATTTTGAATAATATAAGGTCTTTATTATGATAACTAAGAATTTTCCTACAATATCCCGTACGTGTATAGTAAAATTACGAATATAAAATTAAACAGAAATTATTCAAAATGCATCAACGTATTTATCACTATTTCTCGCGGAACCCCGGTTGAGAAAAACTGGTCTAAACAGTAATTGTACAAAGAGCAAATATATGGTTGTAAGTAAAAAGGACAAGTGCATATTGAGGACGTCAAAATCAAAGAAGTGCGGATATTCAACTACACTGAAAGAAAAGAAAAAAAAACAAAAGCTTCAATTTACTTGGGATAAACGTACAAGCAATATAGGTGGATTACAGTAAATAATAATAATGGTTGGCCATTCGTTTCCGAGTACAACCATCTGCTAGAGTGACAAGATAATCGCTGTGGTAGATACCTGTTCAGGCACATATGTTTTTTCAAACCTCCATAGAATCAACTTGTGGTTTATACTGCAATTATCCAGAGTGTATCTTTGTTATAGTTTCTGGGAGAGAGAGAGGCGCCCAATCTGGCGAGATTAGTACTTGAAAAAAGACAGCACACTCACAACCTTGGTAACGACGATTGGCGATGTCGTCCTAGCGCAACTGGCGACGGCTTCCCAACAGTTTCTTCTGCTCAAATTCACTCACAATCCGTGGTATGGTTTTTTTTAGGCGTATGTAAAACGGTGCCGCCCGGTGGGGTCGTCACCATTGGCCGATATTATCAAGAAGTCCTCTCAATGACAAATCGACTATGAGATTCGAAGCAGTGGCTCATAGTCGGAACACGAATGTTCTAAACTCTCAGTTACGCGCTCATATAACAACATATAGAGATTAATACGTGCAGAGGTTCCAAAATAAAATGTCTAACAAAAGGACTCACATAATTATATACTATATCGTCCCTTGCTGAAGAAACATGGTAGAATATTTAACAGCGAAAGGAGACTATTCCGATTTTGGATTAGAGAAACTAGACTGTAGCTGGAGTGTGTTTAATGTGTTTTCTACTTTTGAAGATAAATAATTCATTTATAAAGAAATTTAGATTAATAATAGAAAGAAAATTATAAGAAAATCTTACCCAATAAAGCTTTTCTGTGTAATCTTCTTCTGTTTTGTAAAACTTCCTTCTTCGAGGTCGAACTTCCGATTCAATGTCCGATTCAGCTCCAGATATGGTCACGTGATAAGGTTGATGATCCGGCGTTGCTTTTCTTTCTGGTTCACTTCCAGAACTGTTAATATACGTAGTGTTCGTGTAGGGGGGACCAATGTTCCATTCAATTTGTTCTATGGATGGGACATTTGGGTCCATTTCAGCGGCTGTATCATCATCTGCCATATCTCCCTCCGCATCATCTGAGAGTAATCCCTCCGTTTCGGTGTGGTTTCGACCCTGGTCATTAGTTGCCCCTTGCTGACTGTGTCTCCTCTTACGTAATGACATTACGGTAGCACCTGGGAGGTTCATATTGGAGCCTCCAGCCTCATTTAAATAAACAGTACTGTCCGCATACACATTGGAATTGATATTTGGGGTAATGTGAACAATGCCAATATCTGAGTTCATATTGGATAAATGCGGCATGACATCTCTGTTATTGATATTTGATATCGGATAAAGTGAATTGGCAGTCACATCGGTAGCAACTCTGTTATTGCCGACTCCACTGGAATTATTCCGAATGTTCGCAGTTTGTCGGCTTAGAGATTTAATACTGGCAATAATATTGGACCCTTTGTTACTCATTGTTGGTGAATGAACATCACCTAAAGGAGAGTCGTTCAAGTGAACCTCCACACCGTCAATATGTTCATTTTGAGAATAGACTGACGTCACCTGCAAGTAACTAGCACCATTATCCCCATTGTTATTATTATTATTGCTGCTGTTATTAGTACTGCTATTATTTGTTAGACTATGTCCGATTAGATTCACTTCTGAAACGAAGCCACCGCCCGTGGTCGCCGAAGACGATGACATCGATAAATCATTAGCATCTTCGACACTCAGGCGAGTCGATGGCCGTCCAACTGAAGACGCGCTTTCTCTCCCTCCGTTTTCCATGCTCTTGCAGATATTCAAGATGTTTTCAGCCAGTAAAGGCGTGTACTCACCAGATCCACCAAGCCCGGATGAAGAAGAGATTCCACTAACAGAAGACGACACTGTGGACCCGGTTCCCGCCGCTGCCATCCGACGTCGACGTTGCATTTCTGCCTTTTTGGTTTCGCTCAGTAAACAGACCCATTTTCGACGGACATCGTTGACTGTCCGGTGTTCTCCGCCAACCGTCTCCACGGAGTTTACTTTTCGAGCAATACATTCCCATGCGTGCTGTTTGGCCTGATTGGACACGGGGGTATTGCGTTTAGTAAAGAGAACGTCTTTACGAGCTTGAACATTTGCTACTAACACTTCCAGCTCTTGTTTTGTGAAATTCGCTTTTCTCTTTCGACACAGCATCGTTATTATTTATCTGCTAGATATTTTTAAAAGTATATCTCTCTTTTGTTTGTTTTAGCACAAAAAATATATCTTTCTTTCTAAAAACGTAACATATTTATGTAGTCTGTTTCAAAAGCCTTCTTAAATCTTTGTTCATGTTATTCATCTTTTATTTATACATTTTTAATAATTTCTCGGCTTTATGTTTGTATTTTGTAATCACACTTCATATAAACAGATTCTTCAGTTATTTTCCTTCCAGTATATGTCGATGTACATCGTGTTTTATCACTGGCTGTCATTTTGAGACAAACAAGAAACGAAGGGAAAATCTTTAATTTCCCGACCATTTAAAAAGTTTCATGTAATTCTTCGTATGAGAGTTATGACGCTCTTCGAGTGAAATTCACGGCAAATATGACAAAAGGAAAATAAATAACAGCTCTTCTTATACTTCAGACCATAAATAAAAGAATCTGTTAAAATGGAGCGGTTTTCCGATAAACACTGAACTTGAAATAATTGCTTTGCTTACTCCAACAATGCAATATCTAAAGATAAAAGTCCGTAATTACCGACACTTTAGTATATACATCCGTTTGTTTCAAAGATAAACGTATATAATTTTTTTTATTAAAATGAAAGGTGTAATGATATATGTATACTTTTGTCTTTCATTCTGACGTGAAGAAGACTAACAAACGGATGTCGGCGAAACGCGTCGTTTAGAGCTTTTCTATTTTTTTTCTTGTCATTTCCACTTTTGTTTCGGACACTATTATACATCCAACAAAAACATAATGAATTAACTGTTCAAAGTAATGTGAATCGTTTATGTTTTAAAGTTTTTATTTGCATTTTCTAAAAGTTTTTCTTTTCTTTTCTTAGAAAGAGATTAATAGACTCATTATTACCTTATTGGGCACGATCAAATGATATATTAATCAGGATGGAAATAAAGTTCATAGACATATCAACGCCGATAGGAACTTAATGGAAAGCAGTCACATCTGGCAGCGGCTAGAGAAAGAGGTACGTCTGCGCTTCCTAAAATCCATGCATATCGATGACTGTTGTTAATAAGGATGACGAGAGTCTTCACTTCAATACGATTGGTTTTGTTGTTTCTTTTCCTCCTGAAAACAAACAAATGAATAACAATAAACCAGTAAATAAAATCAATATTTGTATCATTCAAATATTTTAATTTGAACAACGATAAGCGTTATCTCTCGCAAGCAATTAACAAAACAGTACAATGGTTTATCTATAGTACAAAATAATTGCATTAGTCATATATATTTATTAATACGGAGATAGAACTTGCAATATTAATATTTTACGTATTCAATATTTAAGTCATTCTGTTTTAATTATGACAGAAAAAAACACGTTAAAATAATCTCAAAATATAACTAAAAAGAATACATCTCTATTTTTTAAACTATAAAGTGAAAAACCCCCTTAATATATAGTTATGTAGAGATAATTATATTTTTAGTGTGGATCAATAAATCCGTAGCACGTATGACAGTGATGATAATGACAAGGTCAGCAGTATCATTTTTGAACAACATAACAGGATGACAAAAAGTTGAATCTTCACTTTTATATAGTTTTAATCAATAGAAACACATGTAACAGACGCTAAACTTTCCAAAAGCATAAAGGTCACTAAGTTAAAAAGGAAAAGTGAATAAAAAAAACTTCCAACTAGGAAATCATTTATTGATATTGCAATTTCATTCAATAAAAATGTGCACAATACTTTGTTTTTTATCCAATTAGAGATCTAATTAACAAATAATCCTCTATCAAATTTCGCCACTATTTGAGTCATCATATTATAAAAAGTCGAAATCCATTTTCAGTATCATTTTCTTTCGAGATTACACTGCATGTATTGTAAATCATTTTCAAACCGATTATACCAATTTCGACTCTTCTCCGTTTTTTTAAAGTGTTATAATTAAAAACGAACATTTTAAAATAATATTTCTTTTTTATCAAATGGCAAATAAGTTCATGTTTATTGTGTGTATCTTTCAGATTCGTCTGCTTTCAATCAATTTCAGCTGACCTACCGTTGAACGGTAGTGTTTGACAAAAACTAGCAGGCTAACTTCTGCTACTACCTTCTTTTCTCACACAGATGCACAGGGACATCGACTGGCGCGCGAACACACACACGCGCAACCTATACACTGGCTACATACATCCCTTGCTGTACATCATTGTAAATTAACTTTTAATTTTTTTTTTCTTAATCTAAAATGCTGTTAAAACAAAAACTGAACTTTGATTACTGCCTATGTAATTCATCAAAATTAAATTTGTTCTTTTGATTACATGGCGTTTATCTTTTTATTGATCTCTGCATCAAGAAAGATATTCATATATGAATTGATTTATACTAAGCATTATAAACACTTATATAACAATTGGTAAACAATAAATACATTTATTACACCTGACATGTACTTATTAGCTTAATAGTGGCTTGAAACTATTACTGCATAATAGTTGATCTATGTGGTTAGTATATTCATCATTGACTTAAAGTGCATTAACAAAGAATTAGTATGTTAAAAAATTGTGTAACATTTTTTCATGCTTAGGCTAGTATATACTTATTGATGTTCATACGGAAATGTTTCGATAAAATATTACATTCAAAGTCTCATTCAAAAACATTGATTAAACAGTAAAATTTCGAACTAAATCAAAACGAAAAATATTTAGTTAAAAATAAAGGACAATTATTTTCTGAAAATGAGTAGGTACTTCCAAAGATTCACTAAAAAATGAACATATACATGATTAAAAAGTGTCGAAAACTTAATAAAAATGTTATATCGTCAAAATATTTGTGCTGTAATTAAGAGGAAAGACCAAAGGATTTTTTAAATGCATAAATTATTAGTTTTTATCCTTTTGACAACGTTCGAAATTTTGGTTAAAAATTTTGTTCTTATTTGGCGTCAACGGATCGATAATACTTAACTTCGGTTATTGGACGTGAACCGATGTTTCAACGTGATATGGCCGTAAGCCACAAACCAAATATCCAAAAACGGAATAACTTCTGGAAAGTATTCCCAACTTGCCTACAGTACATAAATACATTTATTTAACGGTGTGAATGAAGCACACTTCCAGTTCCTTGTTTTATGTCAATTTCAGTCATCGAAATACATTACAGATGGTAATTAATGCTTAAAAAAATCTGTTATTCTGCTTTCTACAATCTGGAAAGTATTAAGATAGATTTACAAGGAAAAAAAATACGAATAGTAAGCTGCGTGATTCTGTGTCTGGGTTTGGAGCGGAGTTCTACTTGACGTCGTTTGAACAGTTTGCGCGCCCTTCACTTTACGATCTGACAACTGCTGATGCGACCGTTATATTACTACTCTTTATATTGTGAGCTACCTAACTCGGAAATGGCAATAAGCTGATGATGGAATAGCACCACGACTACAGCTGTTCAGAAGCACGCTGATGCTACTACTGCTGATATACGAAACAATTCTTAGGATTTCGCAGTCGTTCCTATAACTTGAAAATGTCGCAAAAGAACGACTCGACCTGGGGCATGGTTAAAAATATTCATATGAGGCAAGTCCTTCAAATTTGCAAACAAAATATTCTTTGGAAACGAACATATTTTTGTTGCAATGAATCTTCTTCTACTATGTGATTTATCCCTTCAGGACGTTGGCAATCATGGCTCTCCACAATTTCCTGTCCTTTGTAGATCTTAATAAATTTTGTCTTTTTATCTGTTCTGCCATCGTTGGGTAAATTGATGGCAGAATAGGATTTTTACTGATACAAAGAAATTTAAGAGGGCAATATTAAAGAACAATTTTCTTACATTTTTCTGTGTAGTTTTGCCTAATTTAGCAGAATGTTCGTAGGTGACTGATACAAGGATCTTAATAAGCGGGGCGTTTTTTTTTCAATATGCAATAAACGGGGGTGGGTTCAATATGTAATAAGAGGAGTTGAGAAATTGGTTAAAGAATCGAAGAGCGAAATAAACAAAGTACAAAGTAAAAAATATTTGTTGATCGGAAAATTTCGAAGCACAAAAATAACCGTCACCCATGTCTATTAGTCATTGAAGACGAAGAAGAGTAATGGTTTTTGAAATAAGCTCAACCATAAGGTTTTTCTCATTATTTTCCAGTTTTCTCTACCAGGTTAAAATCAGTCGGGCCAGGTCAAACTAAAGACATTTTTTGTCATCTTTCTCACGTAAGTTCGAAGGCACCTATAAGTTATAACTGATTATTCGATTGTTAGCCCAAAATCATTTGCTCTACGCTCGCTGGAAATATTCAATATTCTGTGTAATGTGTGTGTATGTGTGTGTTTCAGATCATCCACGTACATGAGGTGGTTTGTTGTTTAATTCATCATCTACATGTGCGTAGCATGCTGACCGATTTTTTCGACTCCGCTTAAAAAAATAATCGACTGTCATAGGATCTAACTTTTCAGGCTTTCACTGTGTTGGATATGAATTTTACGAGTATTCCAATGAACTTGATCATGTTTTTAAAGATATTTTAGAATACAAGTTTATTGGATGTCATTCAATTTTTCTATGATCAAACTGGCCTTTACAATGTTTTTTTTTTTTTTTATTTGAAAATAAGTTAACATTAAAATAGCAGTAGCAAAGAATCTTAAAAGTTCAAGTGTTGAAATGTTTTGCCGATTTCATCAGAGTTGCAATTTCGATATTTTATTAAATAAGAGCCTTCAGGGTCATCACACACACTCAGTTATAAGTAACGTCAGTAATTTCATATTCTACAAAAATGTTATTTATCATTATTTTCATAAAGTATTAGCAACAGAGTAAGCGATAATTTTGGAGTTAGAGTTTTTAGTACGTATTTCTTTGATTGATTCGTTTTTTACGGTTCATCAACCCTTTGCGGATTATTTAAAGTCGAAACATATTTTTGGATTATAAGCGTATTTCTTTTTCTTTTCTTTTGCATTAA